GAAGGAACCTCCAGGGTGTGTGAACCATTTTGCTGGTGCAAACAGGGGACTGAGCATTGTAATAAAGGATACATTTGTCGTGGTTTCGAAAGCATGGATCGCGATACTCCTTATGGTTTGCGTGCAGACGCATAGCACATTCAACTTCGCTCAAAACTAACGGATTGCATCCAAAAACACCGAGACATGTTATACGCGAAAGCTTACCTCCTCAGTATCCCTATTGACTGCGTTTTCTTCCTCGTCCTCCTTAACATCGGTCACCTCCTCTTCTGAAGCCACTTTCGAGATTGTAAGCTGTAACAGGTACACGTTCATAAAACCACGAAAAAGTACCGTAGCTTTACAGGGAGACCTGCCAAGGTATTCGGCCCATTTGCGCTATTACAAGCTAAGCAAAGGAAGCTGTGGCGCAGTTTAAGGCGTTTGATTCAATGATCTCGTTAGATCAGAAGCGCTACTCGAATGGAATGTGCACTACTATGGGAGCCCAATACCACAAATATTCAGTGTATCGGGCTTTAATAAAATGGAAAATTTTCGAATTTACTCTTACCTTATAGCCTCCGATGAATTCCCCAGTTCTTTGTAGGGCTCTACGTACATCAGGCGGACGATTGAACGTTACAAAAGCAACGGCAGCTGTTTCGTTTCTCACAATCTAAAGGAAAGCAAAATTACCAGCTAGCAATAAGATTCTCTCCAATGAAGAAGAGGCCCACCTTCATTGCTTTGACACGTACGGGACTCAACCATTCCTTGAGGTTCTTTTGTTTTATGGAAGCAGGCAGGCCAGTAAATATTAGTGATAACTTAGTGTCACCTAAAAACCGATGGCATCATGCAGTTCTTTTTTTACTTGAAGATGAATGAGGAATAACACCGTACCACTTATACCCATCCATCAACTCTTTCAACAGCTTTTCGTTCTCAACAGCTGCATCAGGGACAGTAATCTTCTGAGGCTGGAATGAAGGAAATATATTCAGGTACTAGAGCTAATCCTACTGTGACGAACCGTTTCATCCATTGATTCCTTGTGCTTCCAAAAAGTTACGATAATCTGGATCGATTTTCTTCTTCTTCTCCACTGTTTCATCATCAGACTTTGCTTTCTTTTGTTCTTTTTGAGAATCAGGCGAGATGACTTCGTGCTTTCGTTTGTAGGCACTGAAAATTCGAAGGAGAGATACTTTTCTAAAAAAGGGATACAAAAGGTGGTTGTCAAATATGGGTCACATTTGTTCGTTAAAGGCTCGTACGATCAATTGGTCGCCCGCTGGGGATGGAAGTAGAACTACTAAGAGGTGCAGAAAAAACTTTTAAAAGGCTTGGAACGTGCAGAAAGGGACCTTGGTTCTGCCCAGACATTCACGATGGGCGAGTCTCATCGGT